AAGCAATATTGTAATATATTAAATAATCAAACAAATAAAATGCAGGCATAACACAATGCCCTAGGCCAGCATCCAGTCCTGCTACTGGACTAGTAGGAATGTTGAATAACGCAATAGGAAACTAGTGCTGGCTAGAAATGAGATGAAACTATGGGATAAGTAAGTGGTGCTTGTGGCAAGGATCTCCAGAGACTTTTTTATTCCAATTGTGGTAATTTCAGCCCATTCCCTTAAACTAAGTTATGAAGCACTTGTTTCCCATGGTCTAGTTTTGCCATTCCTACCAGCACAACAGGTCTAGAAGTGGCAAAATATCAACACTGGTTACCTCCCCTAGCCAGTTATTGGCTACTGTGGAAAAAAAAAACTTGCATCAAAATGCCAAGGGCCAGATGCCCCTTTGGGGCTGTCTTGCTGCTGAACAAAGCATCAATGCTATTGAGCCTGAGTGTTGCTGGAAGCAAGACTGATTGAGAGTGCTTCCACATGGACAGTTCCTAGTACTACCTGACAAAAGGCATTGTGTAGCTCTTCAGTTTTCCCTTCCTTATATTTTAATGTGGAATGAACAAACCAACGAATAAAAGAAAGAAGATTACAAACTGGAGAAATTGCTCTATGGGTGCACCATATGCATTACACACTTGCAACACAAAAGTCTCTTTGGAAGCACCCCAAATGCTTTCACTGTTAAGCTGCAGAGATCTTAGCATGCAACAATATGTATTGAATGCTGAATCATTATAGTTTGTACAGCTATTGGTACAGATAGCTTATTCTGTGGATACTTATGAATCAGACCAGAAACATCACTAAGAGCAGTAATTTTGTTTAAGAATTGAACTGTAAATATAAACATTTTATGTAAATTAAGTCCCAAACAGCACTCATAGAAAATAAAAAACTAACAGTAGTGGGAAATGAAAAAGACGTCAATGTTATAGTGGTGGTAAAATTCTGTAGTCTATAAAGCAGTTTTACATGCAAGAATCATGAAAAAATGATAGGCCTGAGGCCTGCTGAGAAAACTTCCATTAAGTTGTACCTTCCATTATGGATATAGAAGCCAGCCAAACATTAAAACTTTTTTGGATCTTTCCAGGCACAGTGTCATACAGCTGTGCTTATTTAAAAAAGCATGGAATCTGAAAGGGAAATTTGAACTTGGCTGGGTCAGCAGCATGCTTGAATTGGAAACTTCTCTGAACTATGATCATTAAGATTGCATTGGCAACTTCCTGCTCTGTTACTGACAACTGCACTTTACTGATCAGAATCAGAAAATGCTTAGCTTAAGCTGCCCTTGCTGAAAGGTTTCATAGTTGTTGATCATCAGCACATTTAAGGTTCATCATCAGATCCTTCTGTACTTGCAGTTGACACAGTTGCATTACCAAGTATAGACAATGCTAATTTCTTAAAAACAAACCAGGAAGCTTAATTCATCTGGAGAAAGAATAAAGCTTAGCTATAACTATTATGAAAAAGCTTATGAGTATGTAAGTGTTAAAGAAAAGATTATGGAAACATTTCAGTATACACTGGATTGCCTTTGGTATTCTATATTTTAAATTAAATTTGTCTTTTAAAATAAAGAAAGTAGACTCAAGCGTTAAACATATTAAAACAAAAACAAACAAATAAAACTCAATGTGGGGGGACCTTTGAGAAATTTCTTTGGGACATTGGCTTAAACAGATAACTCAGTTTTAAGCTTGTTTATCCAGACATCTCAGCACATTGAGGCCAAAACTACTGCACTGTTAAATGATATTGATTTCAAGGGAAGAGTTAAGTGTGTGTGTTTAACTTTCTCAAACACAAATCAATGGATTTTAAAACTCACTTACTTTGGTTGGATCATGCCCTTGAATTTGTACAAAATAAAACAAGCAAAAATAGGCAGGTAGTAAAAATAAACCTAACAAAATAGAAACTCCCTTCTGTACCTTTCCAGAGAGGTTGGTCATGTAATGGGTCCATTCATCTGCTCCTGTGGAAACTATGAAACCTTCATATTGGGTAAGAAAATAGTTTCTCAGTCAGGAGCTTGATTTTCTGCTACTAAAAAGCTCTAAATAGAAAAGCTTTTTTGTCTGATTCTTTTAGATTTTAAATAAATATGGAGCTGGTCAAATTTGCTAAAACCAATTTGGCCTAAGTTCAGAGACAAATCTAAGAATACCTTTGAATGGCTCTTTATTCATATGGTCAACTTATTGCTAATAATACTCTGTGTGCATGCATATGTATGCAAACATGTGCACAGGCAGTGGAATAAGCCAAAAAGGTAAGCATGCAAAGAATTATACATAAACTGTAAACAAAATGTATCAGACCCATCAATCTGCATGTGACTAAAATAATACCATGTTTACCCAGAGTCATCAAATGTCTTCCTAATGAATGTCTTGAGTTCTTTCTGAAAGAAGTAAGTGGGAGGAATTTTTAGACAATTCAAACGTTCTTTGAACTTGAGGGAAGCCCTCTATTGGAAACACAGTTTGCCCTTTGTTGGACGATGTCTCCCATCGGAAGCACTGAGGGTTTAAAGATAAAGAACCCTAGAAGAGGGAGTCATCGGGGACATAAAATTGCCCATCAACAGCTACCATCTGGTAAGTATAAGTCTGAGCAGGCACAGTAATTACTGTATTTCAATTATAGTAATTCTAAATTTGAACCCATAGATTAGTGCAGAGATGTTTTATGCAACCCTGTGTCTTCTTTAGTCCTTTTTTGGTGACATGTTTCTGCTTTTTTGCTGGCCTCAAAGATTATTGCAACATACCTTTAAGATGAACTGATCTTTCTGGTCCAAAGATCTTCAACCTGGTAATTTCCTGGATGCTCTGGACAAGCCCCAACCAGCATGGTCAGTCAGCAGGAATTCTTGCAATCGTAGTTCTAAAATACCTGGAAGGCACTTTTGTTTTAGAACATAATTTTTGTGCAAGAAATGTAGTTATCCTACTTGGATATATGGAAGATTGGAAGCCAGTGAGTAAGGTAACTTATCCCCTGGTTCTCCTATTCTTTCCTTTCCTGTCATCTTCTCTGGGAAAGCCACAGATGAGCTCAAATTACACAGTTTTCCAAGGAACATAATGCAGAGTGAAAGAACATTATTTCCCTAGGAGGAGCTCCTAATAATTTGGAGACTTAAGCACAGCAGGTAAAATGGTGGTATGAGCTGGACATGGAGTTACACTGTCCTTTTTCTTTGCTTCTTTGAAGTTCTGGAAGGCATCTTCCCTGCTGTCTTCATAGGCAGGAGTTCAGCATTGCCCTATATCAAAGTCCTTTGTGATAAGTGATGTCATTTATGTAAGTAGCTTACCCTTTCAGACAAGAGATTTCTGTACTGCCACTTCTTTTCCTTGATATAAAAAGTCACAGAGTCCTCTAACCTCAGTACCTTTACCTGGCAGTAAGCCGTATTTAAACCAATGGGATGCACATCTAAGTAGAAACATACAGGATTGTGCTGTTACGGATGATACTCTGCCTGAAAGGGCTAAATCAGCTTTGACAGTGCCAATTTGGTGAGAGATTCTGCGCTTCAAAAGCATTATTGCAAAGGAAGTATAAATGCTAAATCCTGCATGACATAAAAATGCAAATAAAACTCATTTTAGTTCAGTGCCCACAGCACCAAACTAATCATCAGTGTCTGCAAAAGTAACCCGAAGAATTTAACTTGATTTCCTGCAGAGACTGTTTTAATGAAGACTGCTAGTTTCTGTTTGTTTGTCATCTAGGTGGGCCACACAGTGCTGTGCTACCCCAAGAGATCAGTCTAATGCCAGAAATAACCACTTTAAACAAAGACACTTTTGATGATGGGGAATCCTGGAGGTTTTGGAGTTCTGTGATTTGTGTAGGATAGCACAGACCTCACCAAAAGTAGGCCAGTCATTCAGCAGCATTTACATTTAAAAAAGTTGTCCAGAGCGGGAAACCAATCGTGCCTCGGCTCTTTTGCAGTACTTAAACAATGAGACAGAAAATAAGGAGATGGCTAAGTTGAATAAAAAGTTCAGATCTAGTTATGTAGGTTAGGCTTGTTTTCATAAGGTGTTGGAGATACAGAGAGCAATAAAGTTGCTGCCATCTGCACATTAGCAGAATTCCCATTACCAATGCTCAAGGCAGAGTGGGGAGCAGAAAGGGAATCACCTGAAAGTGCTCAGGACATGTCCGGATCCGTTGAGGAAGGGCTGCAGATGGAAACCAACGTTCCATGCACACATGGAACTATTTTAGGCACAAACTGAAGGCTCCTCTGAAATGTTCTCCCCAAGGCCAAAGAAATTCTCCACTCAGAAGGCTACAAAGAACCATTGCTTCTGACAAGAAGTAATTGCACTCCACATAACTTGCATTTATAAATAAATTACACCATTTCCTTGAGCACTTGGTGAGATTCACCTCATTGCCTTCTTAGCCTTGAGCTGCTGACACTCATTTCATATGGGGCAGCAGAGGCACGCACTGAGTATTAAGTGCTGCCAAACCTGTTGCTGTTTAACTACTTTTTCTTTTTTAAGAAACAGGATTAAGGTTTTTTTTGCCTAACTGGACTGTACTTATGCATCAATGCTACTTATTCTCCCCATATGTAGCCTACCCTTCCACTCTGAACCACTACTTAGAAAAAAATAGAAGCTAAAGTACTTTTCTGCAAGGATTCCTGGAGTCATTGTGAAGTAGAATCCCATCCTTTTGACCTGTAGGGGTAGAATGCAGAAGGTGTTCCTTGACTAAGGTACTTTCAGCAAGCTAGTCTACTGCAGCTTTGTCACTGTGGTAGCCAAAATGGAAAACAAACTTCTTTACTGTAAGCTGCCTAAGTTTGAAGGAAAGATGCAAAATATTTGTTTTGCTCAGAGCTCCCTAAAATGTAATTTTAATTAAAATAAAACTAGCACAAACTACTTATAAAACAGAGCCTAAATGCTGCATTTTTTTCCAAAAAACAGGCACACCAAAACTTTCACTTAATTTAAAAGTTCTTTATTTTCCTTTAAGACTTAAAAACATGTGCATTTATTTTAGCACCTCAGGTTTCATGGTTTTAGCATTTTTCAAGTGTAACCTTTAAATTACAAACAGTAGGCACAGCAGGAATTATTTAAAACTGATTCCTTAAAAAAAAGGCAAAAAACCCTGCATGTTTTTAAAAGAGCAACTTCAACGTTTTTGATTTCATACAAAATTCAAGTAGTTTTAAATAAGAGTAGAAAATTTGGTTTTTATGACAAGTTGGTACCGAAAAGTTTCCATAAAAAGGACTTGGACTGCCACAGCTGAGTTGGTGCAAAAAGTTATTTTCAGAATAGCTCAGTCCAATTAATGGACTTTAGCGAAGCAGAAAAGACTTCCTATTGCTTCATTTCTTCTTTTAGAGTCACTGCATAGTACTCTAATAAATCATATACATTTTTGCCAATATTTTTCATTTATCTATAAAGTATTTATTTCTTAGAATATAATTCATATTTAGCCAATGCTTTTTTCTTCTCAAGATATGCACCTTGATATTTATTCATAATGTTATGGATGAAAAATGCTTTATAGATTGTCTGTATCAGGGAATCTTCTCTCCCTTTAAAACAAAAAGGGAGATAAGAATTATTATTATCATTATTATTTACTTTGCAACTCAAGGCTCAGAGCAGTTTATTGCAAGTGCTGATTCCTTTCCTTCCCCAATATTTTAGCCTGAAGTAAAGCATAGTTGTCTAGAAGAAGCTTCTTTTGTCACCATCTTCTGGGAGAAGAATCATAAATAAGAGTTTGTCATTGATTGCCAAACTTTGTAAGTGGCCAGGGAAATAAAATTAAGGATCAATGAATGATACTGCAATGTATCTTGTTCCTTTCAAAATGGGAAGTCCTTCATGCAAATGAGTAAGTCTTCCTGGATGCATGAAACTCCATCCTTTCCTGGGTGATTCAATTGAGCAGTTGTACCTCAGAAATTTACATCCACCTCCCTATGAGAGAATCAGAAATACAGTCTTAGATCATGGTCTTCTAATTAATCCCACAGATAGAAATAGAAACTGGGAGTTTTCCAGTGGAGTTTTCCAGGCCACAACAACAACGGGCATTACAACCCCATTCTGCAATGAATGTGTGGATTTGGGCCAGCAATATACTGTAGTTGGATGATATTGCATCTTAATTCCCTATAGCATTTGAGGTTCCCATTCCAATCCAGGAAGCCTTTCCCAGTGTCCCTCTATCAGTTCTATTTTTCATGTAATATAAACATTCTTTGTGTTCAAATTGTGTCCATGCGATTGTTAGGAAGAGAAATATAGAGAACACCAAGGTCAAACACATTTTAGAGTTCAACAAAAGTTCTTTAGGCAATCCGGGGGGTACAGTGTCGGGACTGACATCATACATGGGTACCTATTTAAACAAACCCCTAGCACAGCACAGCAATGTTGCCCTACCAAGCATTAGTTACATTATGTAAGCATAAGTGCATGCTTGTACAATGCTGTTAGTGCTGGCCATGGGGAACAACTGGATATTACCTGCTATCTTAATTAGGCAACTGTAACTGGAAGTCTTCTTAGGTTTCCCCAGTATGGTGCTCTCCCATCATCTCCTAGCATCATGCAAATAACACTATTCTAATACTTTACCAAAACCTAGGCCAGAACCAAATGTACTAATCTGGTACCATATTCTTACCTGTATCTCCTAAGTGCACCCGTGAGAAACATTTTTTCAGAGCTACAGCTGAGATGTTGCAAAAAGCAATCTGGAAATGCTCCAAACTTACTTGAAAGTCTTCTCCAACTTTGTTGAGAGCAATGTTGATGGTAAATGTAGATGAGTCATGATGAGGTCTGAGGGAACGCTGTCTTTCAGTAGTGTATTTCACAACAAAGTTCAGCAAGGCATGACCCTAGAAAGCAATTTAAAAGATGGTTGTTTTTCTATAAAAAGGATAACTCATCATGATGGAATTAGCATGTCTAGCATTTTCCTACAGACGCTGAAATTTACGGTTTGGCTTCAGCTACGTGTGCCTTTCATGCAATCTCTGTCCCAGCTTGTGCCATGTCACCTTCACTCACAGCTTCCATCTCTGTTTCATCTTATGTCTTTTAAAGCCTGGAGGGATTCATGCCTATTTGGAGTTGCATAAATAACAGAGGCAAGACTACCTCTCACACTGAAAAATTCTCAGAACATTCTCATGGAGAGTCCTGAATTAAAAGAGACCTCCTTAGATTTTAATGAATCTTATCCTTAGATTTCAATGAATAGTAGTATAAGTAACAGGTACCTAAGCCATGTTCCATCAATACACTTTATATTGGATGAATATTTTTAACTTACCTTTGTATAGTAGCCAGCAAATACTTTTAGTGTAACAGGTGCTATGAACTCTCTAATAAAGTGTAGCCATACTTTTTCCAGGCCAACTTGTTTCATGTGGATGTCATCAGTTGGAACATTTTCATATCCTCCAGCAATGCGACTGTCCTATGACAAGACATCATGGAGTTCACATTATTTGGAATCAGCTTATATATTTTATTAGACCTGCTTCTTTGGGCATAAGATTATGCTTCCACATGAAATATGCAGCATTTGCCAATCTAAGTCTTCATATCTTAAAACCTTCTAACATGTCTTGCTACACAAATGAAACAGTCGTCCTGCATCATTTGAGGACAAAATGACAGACATATCAAACTTACTGGGTAAGGAATTGAAAATACAAAGCATTATTCTTTGCACCAATTAACTGGTAGATACTAAATGTACATGGCGTAAAAATCTTTATGCTCGAACAGTCTGATAAATGAAGAAATTCCATATGATTCATCATCTTCCTTTAAAGATGCTGGTGCTGATAATCCAACTTACAATTTAATAATCGAAATGACAACAACATCATTCATTGTTAGAAGAAAATGCCATCTTAAATATTTTATTTAGCATTTCATACTACAGCAACGCTCAAAACCCTAACCTAACTCCATATCATGTTTATGAAGTTAAAATTTAATATGGAGTTAAACCTAAACTAATTGTGTACTTCAGTTTAAATCTATGATGAATGTTCTTGTAGATGATTTTTGATAGTGCGTTTGTATCTGCAATGTTGTTTTTATTGTACTGTCAGTTTTACTGTAGAATTATTTCTATCATGTTCCAATTAGTGGGTTGGATCCAGATCTGCCTGCTGCAGGTGGAAGGCTCTTTCCATCTACAGAAAGTCTCTGAAGCAACTGAGCATTTATTTTTTATTTATTTTTTTGATGAACAAGGGAGAGGCACAATTGTCACCAATTTCCCTTCCCAGCAGTGATGCTAGCACTGGGGAGCGGCTGCAAATACAGATGAAGCTCTGCTTGCTCACCCACCGCTCACCTCCTGCTGTGTTGCCCAGTTCCTAACAGGCCACAGACTGGTACCAGTCCACGGCCTGGGGACCCCTGCTCTACATAACTGAGTGGACTCCATTAAGTCCTCCTCTGGCCCTTGGATGTGTGCATGTGCCTGCTGGAAGCAGTACGCTGACTGTCGCTAGCAATGGGATTCCCAAAGGAACTTCCAACAGTAGCAGCCAGCAGTACTGCTCTGCATGGGCAGAAGGATTGGATAATGCTTGCCTTTGTCAACTATGCATACTTCATTATGGTAATGTAAAGAGTTCCCAGAAATTATGCTTACATGGTGCTTTCCACCAGACCATTGGCCGAAATGTTCCATCTCTTGAACCAGTTCGTCACAAGCTGTTTCAGAAAATATGGGGAACCAAAACACATCTGGGCATGGCTGTAAGTGGGAAGCAAACGCAGACTGAGGTTAGCACTTTGTGCTTGGCTTAGCATTTACCCCTAGATTGACTTGCCTAGCAATGCTTGCCTATCCAGCAGCTGTCCAGGTCTGCAGGGTTCAGCACCTTGCCCAGAGGGAAGGGCCGTGGCAGTTGACTGTACTCTCACCTCTAATGCAAGTGCTGATAACATGACTGCTTCCCTGCAAGGCCTGTAGTTGTGCTTGTGTGTGCACATGTGCATGCGTGTGTGCATGCACATTTTCACATCCATGTGCAAGGGGGCTGTGTTGTACCCACAAGAGGCAGAGGTAAAGTGTGTCAAAATCTAACCTCCAATTCCCTGAACATTTTCTTTTCCTAATGTAAGAGGCCTTTATTTTTCTGAAGGATTTGTTAGTGGTCTTTTTGATCGTACTGAATCACACAGTCAGACACACTGCTTGGCCATCTCATAAGAACATGTATGCAAACTCATAAGATGTCTCAGTAATTTCTTCTTCTCTGAATTACTTTTCATTAATTGAATGAAAATGATCAAAAAAATATGTGGGGATTTTTTTCATCACGGCACAACTCGCAGCCTGGCCTGAAATGAACCCAAGTAGGTTCCTGCGTTGCTTTCAGGCATATGTTGCCTTGTGCTAATAATCATTACTCTTCCAGTGTAAACTACAAGCAGACTTACACTTTCATTAGTACTGGCCACAATTCATTTTTCATGGATCTTCATAGCCCACCCACATCAAAATTGTATCATTTGGAGCAAAGCAAAGCAATCCTTTAAAACTATTTAGCTATAGTTAAACTATTTATTTAAGCACCATTGTCACTATTTATGAAATGTTGAACAATGGCAATTAAAACAAAAGAGTACAATTTTTAGATTTACAGTGTAAACTGTAAATATTTAATTACACAAAAATCCACCTCATTGCTGAAATGTATTTTTGCCCTTGTTTTTGGCATAATTAGCTTTATAATATTGAACATGGTTTAAGTATTATTTCAGCAAACATTTTAAAGCTACCCGGAAGAGCATTTTAGAACTAATCAAAAGGTCAGTGCAAAGAAATGTTGTGTGCTATCAAGCTGTCTCTGACTTCCTGTCAGCCTATGAATGAATGCCCTCTAAACGCTCCTATCTTTGACAGCCCTGTTCATCTCTTCTAAACCAAGGTTGTGCCTTTCTTTATGGAGTCCATCAGTCTCAATATCTGGTCTTCCTCTTCCGCTGTTTCCCACTTTCCCTAGCATGAATGTCTTTTCCTGTGAGTTTTGCCTTCTTGTGATGTGCCTAAGAGATGACAGCTTCAGTTGTATATTTTTTTCTTCCACAGAAAGTTCTTGCTTGATTTGATCTAGGGCTCCCTCATTTGTCTTTCCATTACTCCTGTGTATTTGCAAAACTCTCTGCAAGCATCATATTTTGAATGTAACAATTTTCTTCCTGTCAGCTTTCTTCACTGTCCAGCTTTCACACCCACACACAGCAAAATTGTACAGAATTCAGGGTGATAAAAGGGCACCTTCTGCCAAAATAATTAGGAGTGAGTTGTCCAAGGTTCACCGGTCCAATATGTCACTGCCTATGTCAAAACAGCAGCTTTTAAAAAGATGAAAGAGTAGCACTAAATGCTTCTATATTTGTGCAGATTACATTACTGTTATACTTCCTTCAACAGACAAACAAAAAACAACCAATTATTGTCTGTGAAAAGACACAAAAAACAGCATAGATAACACAGGACAACCATGACTAGAGTATTTATTCTCTCTACATGAATTGCAGTACTAATTGCCCTGTGCACACTGTAAGACCCTTGTCAAGGAAAATTTCCACCTACCTGCTCAACTATATTTTCAGTGAAGATTTTTGAATAGTTGGGATTTATGTAGATTTCCTTCCAGTCCTGGAAAGAGTAATTGGAATTAAAAATTGCTTGTTAGGTTTTGAAACTGCACAGAATTGCTTAGAATGCTTCTAGACAGAGAGCTTCCAAGTCAAAATAAAAAGTGCCGTTATTCTGTCTTTTCTACATTCATATATTTGTTTTCTGGTGAACAGAAAATAAATTTACAAATGAAATAGGATAATGCCTAACTTAGCTGATTTTTTTAAATCTGGAATCATCATTGGAGCACTTAGTTTTTCTTCAGATCGAACAATGAAACCATGGCAAACAAATTCAGTTAAAAAATTAAACTGGAAGTGTGACACTAGGGTACATTCCTTCTTTTTTAGCTTTTTTTAACTAACAAAAAGAATAGCAACTTTAAAACAAACATAAAGATAAAAAACTAGAAATGTATTTTAGTGCATACATACCACAGGATTTTCAAAAATCTGCCAGAGATCATTACTGTGGTGAGAAGTATTGTAGTTCGCAGTTGATAAAAGTCTTCCAAATTCATGTCTGTTAGTGATGTACATAAAGATACCCTACCACCAGACAGAAACATTCTTATATTAGTGAATGCACTTAACATTTGGAAATGCTGAAGAAACTGAGTTGGATCCAGAGCTGGTCATACTCTGAGCAGGCTCAATGAAATGAGAGGGGCCAAAGGTAGTCACAACTTGAGTTACTTCCTATTGAATCAACGGATGTTAAGTTCAATTAACTTAATACAGAGCCAACCCTACATTCTTCTTCTGCTCATTCAAGACTCATTCGGTATCAGTCCATTGTAAAAGCAACAAAACTCTGTACAAATGGCACTTGTCTTTCTACAAAATTCTAACTAGGTAAGGTTCTTTGGGAAGATATAGAGATGCTATAGCACTAACTGCCTGCTCACAGGTTGTGAACAAAGGATGGATTCTTTGAATGAAAAGGCTATTGGATGCTTTTCTTTTTACAGCCAGTGCCTGCAATGGAAGACTTTCACTGTGCATATGTAGAAGGTTCCTACAACCTGGTGGTCTCCAGATGCTTTGCACGACAACCCTTAGGATTCCTCACTATTGTGGATGGGGTTAATGTTCAAAACATCTGGACACCACTGGGTTGGGAAGGCTGACACAGAACATTCCAAATCCATGGCAATGAAGGGAAGTCCCTGCACATGATTTCCATGTTTATATCAGAGATGCATGCATAGAACTCTGGATTATGATTTAATGGGTGACAAACTATCATCAAAGGAGATTTTTTTAAACCTTTTTAATGTGTTAACATTAATTTTTAAAGTAGCTGTCCTGAGAATAAATATTCAAAAATATGAATTTGATTAATTCAGATAAAAAGTTTTCTAAGAATGAAGTCTGTGTCTGAATAACATGGACTATTTCAGTCCATTTCCTGTGGGTTCCTTTGATGAGTTCAGCTGTAATGAAATGTGAATCTCAAAGTTGTTAATTTTATAAATAAGATGAAAACCAGAAACGTCGATATAACATTTGAACAAGTATGAAAACCAAAATTAATGTAGAACTACAGCAAAAACTCTATGATGTCAAACTAGGAAATGAATGTAGGAAGAGTATTTTCTTTTTCTAGACCAACGTATCATATCTTTAGTTTCAATCAGAGATACAGTTGTGCTTGTCATGCCCAATACAATGACTTCCACTATCTGGAATGAGCGTGCTTCGAGACATTTGCTTTTTCTGGCAGATCTAGTGGCATGTACAAGCCAGATGATATCCACTGATGTGCACTCACACTGATTACCACTGCCCAAAGATAGTAGGATCAATGTGGGCAGCAGCTGCTGAACAAAGGCAATGATAGCAACTTCATATCGTAAATGATAATGGATACCTCTTCCACAAGGACATGCCTGTTTTGCTTCTGTGTTGCTAAGGAAGCAGATGTTTGTAAATGTCTCCAGGTGCTTAGAATACAGAATCAAAAATAGTATTTCTGGCTATATTATTGCACACACATATACCAATTCTGGCATTTTTAAGGGTTCAGTGTAAGTCTACTTTTCTTCTACAAAGATGTCGATGACAATATATGTGAATTTCGTATTGGAATGCTCTTTAATGTTTTCTAATGTATACATTTTCTTAAATTATCTATCTGTCATGGAAGTTAAGGTGTTGTGAATGGGCCTGGATTTTTCAGTGGATAAAGGCTGATACCACACTGGAAAGATAAATGCTCACCTTATGTATTGCACTGGATTATTGACCTAATGACACTTTCATGATCTGAGTGAATGTCATACAGATGCCACTAGTAAATGGGCATATATATGGATATTTGGTCTGCCTTGGCAGACCATACATATAATTGATACATTTACATCTATACAATTATATAAATATTTGCATATTTTCTTTTTAAAATTTAGATTTTGTCTTGTTTTTGTGAAAGTCACAAGAAAAAATAAAGAAACAAAGAAGTTGAAGCATATCTTAGTAATATATTAAATGTACTGAGTTCATGGCTCTTATTAATAAATATAGAAAGCTGCATCAAAGATCTTTTTCACAAGTAGCTAAATAGAGCTTATTTAACACTTCTCTCCATGACAAAAATACACCACACCACTGTCCAGTGCTATGCTCCATTACTTTCAATGGAGTTGCTTCAGCATAGAACTGGAAAATGCAGTGGTAAAACATGCTACCGATAGTGGGTGTATTTAAGATATTGTTACTGCTTTAAAGACATAATTTCTCATATCAAATGAGAAAACCACAGTATAGGCTCACCCTCTTTCTTCAAAACAGGGGAGTGATAAAACGTTTGTTAGGGGAACCGCAAGCAACCTTTATTAAGCAACAACATTATTCTAAGGCTGGAACAGACAATGGAGATTGGCTAACTTGGCCTCCACACCATGGACCACTGAAATGTACCCAGTTATAGGCATGTAACTAAATGATTTTTTTCTTTTTTTGGATGACTTGAAGGAGGTCTCACTTGTTTTAGCAGTATATTCTAAAGATCGTACTACTCTGTCATAGTAATCATGCTCATTTTGAAATGTAGCTTCATACCACTAGCTGTAGTCTTTTCCATGACCTGTTCTGTGATGTGGAATGGCCTCATTGATTTATTTAGGTGCAGTCTAACACCTGTATGCTCAATGAACATCAGCCTCTGGACATGGAGACTTGGGAGCATTCAATAGAGGCTTTGAGGTACAGTGATTTCTGCTGCCCTGCACTTCATTTTCAACTGTCCAAATAAAGTGCCATGGATGGGAAGGCAAGGAGGCTGGGGTTTCATTTGGATATGTTTCTGACCTCAGAGAAGCAACCAGTGCAATTCTTTCTACCCCGGCTATGGGGTGGTGCTGGAAAGAGCTCTGCATTTGGAGTCCACAGCCAAAGGAGACATCAAATAATGGGGTGGAGACATCAAATAATCTTCTGTTTCCACCCCCTCCCCAGACAATATTGGGAGGTGATGCAATTGCACCTTAACCAGACCACATAGTTTGCATTTTAAGTAGTAAATAGAAATGGCACAGGGTGAAAGAATTACTCAGTATACATTTTCTCAGAGGAAATTACAGTCATTCCAGCAAAACTAATAGAGACTGCATCACAGAGTGTATCATTGCCAGCATGTGCTACTGCATGTTGTATCAAAATTAAAGATTCTCAGGATGTGGACAGTTTTGTTTTACCGGTAGGGAGCTACATCCGAGAACACTGTATATTAGAAGGAGGAAAGCAATATTTGGTAATTATGCCACACCAAATGTGGCTGTTAAAATAGGGCAGGTACAGGGTACATATTTTGTGCTTCTTGCAATTGTATACACAGTTAAGTATACAAACATACTAGCTTAAACTTTCAAAATTGTGGAAAATTGGCTAAGGTCACACTGAAAGGTGCCATTCTACACACATAAGGTATCTTTAGTTTGTAAAGGGCTTTCTCCCCACATATATCAGAAATGTTTGAACGAATCCCATCATCTTGCACCACTGGTCATGTTGCCTAAGGATGATGGGAGTTGCAGCAAAAGTAGGACATCTGAGGAAAATTAAAGCTATATCCATTTGCTTCTGCAAATGGCTTGGCAAGACATTGTGCAAGTGGATGTGTAAGAATTACCTACAGAAGCCAGGTAATATATCACTACATGAACTCTTGCACAAGCATTTGCAGAATGTCACTAACATCTGTTTTCCATGACCTTAGGATTGAACCTTATCTTTTTGGATGGTCACCAAAAAGCAGACTCATTTTGTAAAAAGTCAAGACAAAAAGATGCATCCAATTATTATTATGAGACTGGAAGAGGAGTGAAACTCTTCCTCTAGGAGAATAATACCGCATTGTAATAAATGAATAAAAAAGTGCAAAACCTTTGGGGGTCTGAGCATATGGAATGTTTCCACAGAAGGGGAGTCTTTTTCCCTTTGCAAGTTCTAAAATGAAGGAGGAGAAGCACCACATCAGTTGACTTAAAAATTGTTCTTCTCTTTTGCATGCTTACAGCTGTATTAGGTTTCTGCTGCCATGTTAGATAAACAATCTCCTTTAGTCAAAAGCTAGTATGCTCAAGGAACCTTTGCAAACAGCATGCAGCTCCAAGCAAAGCTTATCATGTACAGGTTAAAAATGCAATCTAGCAGCTCCTTATCTGTGCCATAAAAACAACAACACAAAAACAAGCTCTACCAGGCTGCTTCACAGCATGAGAATAAGAAAAGGTGCTGGGTTTTTTTCCTGATAAGCCACCAAGTCAGATTAGTTGAACATGAACACATGGTAAGGACAGATTGCAATAACTGAAGGTTGAGAACAACAGAATGTTGATTGGGCTATTCTGGAGAATGAGTATGAACAAAAGAAAATCATGCCTTGTTAAAGGAGGGAATAAAGTTTAATACTTGCCAACTTTTCTTGTTCAATTCAGCAAAATTATTTTTCAATGCTACATTGCCTGGAAATAGCTGTCATTTGTTTCTGCTCTGGAACTAATGTAAATATCAGTACAAATACAGATTTACATTTGTATTGCAATGATATTCATATAACGTTCTCATCACACTAACATCTATTCGATGCTATTAATGACAAGGAGCATTGCTCCTGTTTAGCAAAATTTAATCTGCCTTGAAGTAATAGAATCAATCATTCATGCCCTTGAAAAAGACAATTCTAAAATGCAGCAATGTGACATCGGTGCTATTACGAATTTCAAATAATACACAGGGTTTGCCATTTTTCATTAATGGAAGACCACAATTTAGAAAAAGAAAATCAGTGCATAACCATATGAAATAGATACTAATAAGTTAACATTATAAAAAGTAATTTTGCATTCAGAACCAGAACTTGACAGCATATAATATTAATGAATGTCAAGTATCTTAAGTAAAAGAACTACAATGTAAATTAGTTAAACTGCTGCCATTGTAATTATGGTAAGAACTAACAAAAATGATTTTAACTCCCCAAAATTGGCTAGTACATTTCATTTGAAAGGAAGAGTAACAACCAAAGTGTAGCAAGACATATTCAAAGCAGCTGTATCACATGCATCTTACCATTTCCCTGACATTTCTGCAGAGGGCCATGTCAGAATCCAGTCTGTCACGTGCAAAGTAGTTTCTGTCTTTCAGCTCAGATCTCAGAGTCTGTCCTTTGATCAAGTATATATTAGCTACAAAAGGGACATTCCATACACCTCTGTGAAAGCAAGGTAAATGGAGTTATGCGTAATAGTCACATGACTAGGAAAGATGTAATGGAGACTTTTTGGCAGTGCCACTCATACAATTTCTTTCCTCTTCCATGTGTGAGAACAAACTAACCAGGGATTCTCATTTTGTCTGAACTGGAAATGTGGCCAACTTCTTCCAAACGAGGCAGAATTCTAAGATGGCTTCAAATGGGTCTGCATGAAACTGTGAAAATGTTACATAAATTACTTATTACCAAGGGTCTTTTTCTCAGTGTTTGAGATGGGCAAGGGAAGGGCTGGGGTACTACACGATATCACAATATGCTATAGGTATTATGCACCCAAAAGTTAGACCCTCATATCTGTCCTTCAACTTTTGAAAACCTTCAGTGAAGAAAGAGTCAATCCCATGTACAACAACACACACCGAACAATGGCTTGGGTCTACAATACTTGGCCAAACATCTCTCCCAGCTGAAATCTCCCTACTACAGTCACTTTCCAGGGCCTGTCTCTGACTACCACCTCCAAGGTAAGCTTGCTTGGTGACAACAAGCAGTGTCTTCTCAGTGGCAGACCAACACCTACGGATCAACCTGCCCACAATGAGGCCCTGCAACATGACACCAACTTCACTATCCATCCAGCACCAGGGTAAGTTTGTTCTCTATGACAAGGCATTTTATAGCTCTAAATGGTACAGTGTAACATTATGTCAGCCATTTAACAGGTCTGGTTGTTTTCACTTGCACTAGCTGTTGTAATTGTTCACATTTGGTTTTAAATTTTATAGTAAAATGGATGATGTTTTTATCATTATCTGAATTTCTGAATGCATTTATTGTACTTTATGTGTTGTTGTGAACTACCCAGAGAACTTCAGTTATTGGGAGGTACAGAAATAAATCATAATCACACATCAAATAAATTGGTTCTGTAAAATACAGAACAATCTCTTCCCCCATTGGCAACCCTATCTCTCTAATATCTGAAGCTGCTAGTATTCATATTTGCTAGTCAAACGCTAATAAATATGGATATGGATCAAACATTGCATGTTTGTGTGCAATGTTCATGTGGATAGGTATCAACCATTGTTGTTTGATACATATCCAAATGCAAAATTACTTAACAGGACAAAGGTAACTCACATTCTGTTTCCTTGGACAATATCCACATAGTCTTCAGATCGAGCATAATATCCATCAGCACTTAGTGCACCCCAAAAGTTGGACCAGAGTTTCCCATGACGTGTTACAAGAGGAGCAATCATCTTTCTGTTCAAAAACGGTTAAGTAGGACATTAATAAGTGCTAACACTTTGATTCTTTTAGAAGTAAAACATGAGGCGTGTGTGTGTGTGTGTGTGTATCTATCTATCTATCTATCTGAGAGAGAGGTATATAAATATTATATATGTGTGTGGAGGGGATATAAATCTAATGAATAGTAAATAAATAATAAACACACACACAATATGTAGCTGTATAATTGAGTAACTGCAGGGAATCAGGAAATACAGAACAGTTACATACTGATACCAAAGACCTCTTTAGATTCCAGCCATTGCTTCTAGCCACTTCCTTATAAGATTACTGTCAGAATACAGACATTTCTATCACTGGAATATAATGCCTATTTGTTATGTGACAGTTTCAGGAAGTAAGCATGTGGGGGGAGAGGGAGATGCGAGGGGAGAGGGAGAGAGAGTGAGAGATTTGGCTCACAGCTCAGGACAGCTGGCTCAAATTAAATCCAGCTGCATTGGACAAGGGCCAGAGCAAGAAAGCAGAGGTGTGTGATGGACAGGTGGGACAGCTTCAGTCTTAAAAGCAGCAACAAATACTAAGGGAAAAGGAGGAAGACAGAGGTTTGTACTGAATATTAGTGCCAACTTAAAGTAGACCATTAAAATGTATGGGATTTAAGTTATTTATTTATTAGCTTTTTATCCCACCTCATTAGCCATAAGGCTCCCTTATGTTGGACTAACATTGGATATAACCCAGTGAGAGATGGTGAAGAAACTGGTGTAGCAGAGCTCCAGAGAAGAAGAAAGATTCTTGAAATATTTAAGGTGCACTGCTTGCTAAGGAATGTTGAATGTCATAGGATTTATTTTTTGTCTGAACAACCAAAAGACTGCATTCTTCTTGGTTTATAGGAAGGAAGGAAGGAAGGAAGGATAGTCCTCAGCAACTAAGCATGAAGATCTCAGGCACCAAATCCAAGTAAAAGGAACTGGAGTGGTTCCAAGCCTATGGAGAGCCCCACAACATGCTTTCCATAGGAAAGATCTCACACTCTGTCTCTTCCAAGTCCATAGCTGGAGAAGACCTCTGTTCAAGATCTTGCAGAGTTGCTGCGAATCAGAGCAAAAGTACTTGCCAAGATGAATTAAAAGTAGTTCTTTATGTCTTTGAGTAACACGTATCAAAATGGATTCTTTCACTTACAGACACATTGTCATTAAACTTAACCTGTAGCAAATGTTCTGAAAACATGTCTTTATGTCACAGTGCACAAATAATATGCATGTAGCACATCAATACCACCAACCTCAGTGACAAAACACAGCATACATTAACAGCACCATCCAAAATCATGATGACAAGAAAGCTTTCACATAAAGGAGTGTACAAATATTCTCCACTGTAAGAAATGGTGTCCTTCCTTCCATGATAAAGTTACATCAGGGAATTACTCTGCAAACCTCACCTACCTATTTTGTTCTATGAGGAGTTTTAAAGTCTTTGGATTTGTTAAAACGACATCTGCATCTATGCTGAAATAATAGTCACATTCTTTATTCTGCCGACAGATATCCCTTGAAGAAGAAAATAAAGGAAAGTCATTAGCCCTGTAAAAATGTCTAATTCCAAACAGCTTGCCATAGCTTTAAACAGACACTTCTAGCGAAATACAGAATAAGCAAATGTAAGAACTATGTTTGATTAGACACCCCTATTGGCAACTCAGCTATTAGAGTAAACAATTTAAAGCAACAAATGTTTTAGTTAATTAATTGGGAAGGAGAAAGGAAGGTGAGAGAGCTGTTTTTGTAGTCAAACAACATATCCTGGGTTTTGCTGGGTTTATCTTTTACAGTTTCTGCTTGCAATTTTCTAAAACCTGCTTTGAACTATTTTGGCAAAGTGATATGATTTAATTTAAATAAAAATAAGCAACACAATACTTTATACTTAGGTATATACAGATTGCTTTCTGCAGGTAGAGATGTGTGTAGTAGAAAGTTCATCTCCCTCAATGTAAGGGTAGAACACAATTTAAGAGCTCATCATGAAATCTGTACTATATTTATCATTTGTCTAATGTTATGAATGTTCCCATCTATAGTACTTTTTTCCTAATCATAATCTATAGCATGTTGCTTAATTTTGTGTGGCCTCTGAGGAGACAGAAACCAGCTGCAAGTCATACATGGAATGAATCAATCCTCACTGTTCTTTGAAATGGCCATTTGGATTAAAGAGCAGTGTGATTTTTCATAGATCTGGAAATGGACCAGACTGTAACTTAGGGGTAGAGTACAACTTCAGATAGTGTGTCCCTACAGTCATGTGATTTGAGCTGGTTTCCACAACCCTCTGCGGAAATTACCCTGCAGACATTTATGGTAATCTTACCAATAACCTGGCTGTTATTTGGAATAGCTTAATGACTTGGGAAGCACTCAGATAGCTTTTAGATAATGACTGAGGGCCAGAAACTATTTTGGATTCCTGATTCCGAGAATGGAAATTGTGCTCTGACCTCAAAGTCGGAATTGGAACTTTGACCCCATTGCACACCCCACTTCCAGCCAGTGTAGAAAGTTCTATGAGAATGGAACTCAACCTTTGAGAGGGGGTGAAAGAAAATGTGGTGGGCAAAATGTGGAAGAAACTGGAGATGCCTGAACATACACTCTGTCGAGGATATGAGTTATCTCCACCACCGTTCATCTTCTGAAATTCCCCAGGCCCTGTCTATCTAAAATGCAGGAAAGGAGAATGAGGAAGTAAAAATTGCATCCATTATTCCTCCTACCCTGAATAGGATGACCATAAGACTCCAGGATCAAGTGTTGGTGATTGTACCTTAAGTGGTCAACAGTCACATCTGGATGCTTCAATATGAAGCATCTTGGTTTACAGGAATGGATAGTGTATGTGGAACTAACAGGAAAGAAGCAGCAGAACTTGACTGAACATGTTACAGAACTCGCTTGAATGGATATCAGCTACACATTAAGTTATTTTATATCCATATTTAAGAATGCTATTGACTTAAACACACACTGAAACTTTAAGATCTACAAAAAGATGTCTCCTATTTAAAAATTCCAATAGCTTGGAGCAGTGATGGCAAACCTATGGTACGGATGCCACAGTGGGCACACAGAGCCCCCTCTGTCAGCACATGAGCCAAGTTGCCCCCGCATTGCCCCAGCAACTGAGCATCGGATAACAGCGCACATAGGGGCCATGCGCATGCTCGGAAGGAGTAGCAGTGCCAGGCGATGATGTCACGAGCCTCATTAGCCACGGCTTGTCCGAGCTTTCGCAAGGCCGGTCAGTGCACTGCCAAGGATATATATATATATATTTGCTTGGACTGGCTGTGAGGTGTTTTTTCTAAACTAAACCCTCAGTTTTCAGGTTTTATTGCAGTTTAGCACTTTGCAATAAATAAGTGGGTTTTGGGTTGCAGTTTGGGCACTTGGTCTCTAAAAGGTTCGCCATTACTGGCCTATAACATGACCATTCTACTAACTGTACCTTTGCTCATGTTTCAAATTAATATTCACAAAATCTTAAAGGTGTTGTCAGCATGCAAAGGTTTAAGGAGCTCACCAAGTGCCAACCTCTACCACCTCTCCTTCCCCAAGAACAAGGAACTAACTGTTGGGGCAAGAGAAGATGGTAGAGAGTGATCCCAGCATCCTGGCAGATCAACTTTTCCCCCTGAGGACTAGGAAAATAAATCCCAGACTATATGATGGAAAACTGTTGTCACTTTTGCTATTTCCACCAAAGGAAAACACCTATCTTCATTGGGCATAACATCCACTTCCCACTGGGAACTCTAGGACATAATTTCAATCACCATTGCTATTGCTACTGCAGCTAGTTTCCCATGCCTCAGCGATAAGTTTCTGGCCTATGGGGCAAGAAGGATCAGATGAGCAAAGCCCTATGAAAACTTGCAAGTAGGATTAATTCTGCTCAGAAGTATTTGAGCACGGATGTTTTCTGCACTGAGTTCTCATGCTCAAATATTTTTGACACTCTTGGAGGTAGACAGTGATTAGAAACAGCACTTTTTGATGTTCTGGAGCTTCACAATTTTTGCCCGCTTTACTAGTCTTTTAATGCCAAATGAAGACATTTTATCTTCCTAAACTTTTAATGGGTGATTTATTTCATTCTTGCAGTTTCTCTGTTTTTATTGCTCTTCTTCCTGCAATTCTGTTGGTTTTTATTGTTGCATTATTATTTTTCTAGAGGCTTCTATTGAAAAGTAGCATAATATTTTTACAAAATAAACTAAAAATACAGTAATGTTCTTAGCAGAGACAGTGATGAATAATCCACAACATCTCCTCTATTTCAACATAAACTATTATCTTCTCTAGTTCAGAAACATAAGTGGGAATCACAGTGATTAATCATATACCCTGGCAAACAAGAAAAAATCCTACAAATAAGCACAGACATTGCTCATAAATGAAATACGTCATTGGAAACATCATAAACAAGCTGTTGCTTGCTTATTTTGATTCCACTCAGCATGGTCTTTGCATTAAAATGAACATTTAAATGAAAAACAATTAAAATATAACATTACATTCCCATGTTCCTAGCATCAGCTTGACTCAGGTATTCTTCAGGTCCAACAATTTTTATAGGTTTGATCATATGTTTGGCTTTTTCCCAAAATCTCTTGATATGCTTTTCATGGTAAACTTCCTGGAAATGTTAAAATTCAGAATTAGTGGGAAAGCAGTAATGTCATCTGAAAATTAAATATGCTGTAATACAGGTCTGTGCTAGTCTGCAATATATCTGAAAGTAAACTGGAAATAGCTTCCAGGTAGTTGAGCCATTAAGTCTAGAATAAATTATGCTTCCTTCTCTGGTTTTGCTCATATTCTCCCTCAAGCTGCAACGGATAGAAGTTCCACTGACTTCAAGAGGACTTAATTCAGAGTAGACATATATAGGATTGCACTGTCACTGTCCTAATCGGAAGTGTTGTGGAGGATGAAGTCTGGGTTGGTTGTCTTGTGCTTATATAGGATGGAGAAATGAAGGAGGGAAACAGTCATGTACAGCCACTAGACCAGCACTAGGATTTCTCCCTAACTATATCATGAGGTAGCACACAAACAAAGCAATGATAAGATGACCTTATTAGCAAGAAACTGCATTAGCAAAACACACAAGACCAACTGCAACCAATGGTTTTATGATCAAATGTGGAAAATAATGGACCAACCATAAAACATAAAATGAAATTAAACACTGAAGAATGAAAAGGCCAAGAATTGTTAGACCTAAACTAGCTCAACCAAATGAATCTTGAGTATGTTTTTTAACATAAAAGGAGGGATGTGTGGAGGAGGTGAAGAGAAGCAAATCATTTGAAAGAATACTTGGTAAGGGTCAATTTTAGTTATTCAGTCCATGCAGAAATCTCACATGTGTAGGAAGGTGACTTATGGCAGCAGCATCTCTGGCCAAGAGGCATTTGTTTCAGAATCTGAAATAAGGCTACCTACATAGACTTGCTCCAGACACAGAAGCAAACGCACACAGATTGGCAATGCAGTATGCCACCGTAATGCTATCTCTTCCCTTGCAGGTAGTTGCCCATGCAAGATTATGCACCTGGAACAAGCTCAAACAAATGCCTGAAAGGAATTAAAAGGAATCCCAGATATACAGTGTATAAAGAGAAAAGAAAGAAATGTGTGGTTTAGGTGTGCAAACAGCAAAGGATCAGAAGACATTTTAACTGGCTCCTCTAAAATGTCCTCTTACAATTCCTGGTTTGGGCAGAATATAAAGTTTGTATTTATACTGTAGCACTGTTATTAATGGTTTGAGGAATCACAGGGCAAACAGAGAATAAATTTATGCCCTGCTCACTCACCCATTGCTTCTTTTTAATTCCAACTATAACAAAGGAAGTTGTTCTAGCACTTTTCAAAATCTATCCAAAGAATACTTTTTGCATAAAGACTGGGTGCACAATGGTCAAAGAAAATCATGTTGAAAAGCAGGAGGCCTTTTCAAAAATGCTTTCGATTTTTCTATTTTCTGTTCAGAATACCAAATATAGGATTTAAACGGGATATAATTTTAGTTTGAATATTTTCTGATATCAAATCCTTCTCTGGAGCCTACTCATGACCAAATATAATCCCCATCCCAAACTGTGCTGTTGTACTCATATCCTGTTGTTCGATTCTGTGGATAGCTGATTTGTCACTGTATGAACAGAATGCTGGACTAGATGGACCTTTGTTCTTATCCAGCATGGCTTTTGTTCTAAAACTTAGGAAATGTCTTCCATAGCACAATCTCCACCCTCTCCACACACACCCATACACACACACACACACACTGCAAAAATACACTTCTGTTGGTTAGCACTACAGTTTCCACTTCCCAGGAATTTGGATATAAGATATAAACCAGTGGGTATCAGTAATGATCTGCAGGGTTCATTTAGTATTTGTGGATGCAGGTTTTTCCCCCCTGCAAATCTCTAAAATGATCTTTCAAGCACCATAGAAACCAAGTCTGTAAAAGCTTTATATTGATTTTAACATGACAATACATTGGTGTAGAATGGACGAATTAGCACATAAGATTCGCTTACTACTTTACAGAAATAACTGCTCATTTGCCACATACCATTGTACCACCATTTAGAAAGTACTTACATTATTATGAATGAAGAAGCTAAGTTTTTCCTTTGGATAGTCCAGATTCAACAATATGTCTAAAAATCTAGGCAGGAAAGGAGTTGGTTGTTCAATGAAAACACCAATTGTTACTTTTGGAATCTCCTACAAATACAGCATGTGGAAAAAAATGTGAAGTGTTTACTTCAAAGTCTGACCCAGTATTACATTCAACAAAAATGAACCCCATAATATATTTTGTAAAATAAATTACAAGTTTGTGAGCACACAACATAGTTTTTTCCTTCATCATTTTATACAAGTTACAACTTTGAACAGCATTTTTAATTGCAGTTTTAAATCACGATTCCTCCATATATTAATGAAATCGAATAAAATGATTTTAACAGAAAACATACAACAATCCCATTAAATATTGGTGCAGATTGCTATCTTGAAAGCATTTCTTAATTCTTGTAGAGGCATCGCCTAATTCAGCACTGAAAAGGATTATGTGCCAAGTTTGTAGGTTTACTGTTCCATGCTTCCACGGAACTCAACATGCTAAAGGCAGGATGGGTACCAATATTCACAAAATGCTGCTGAGTGGAATGTTCTACTGCAGGGGTCTCAATCTCAACGTACCTGGGGGCCGCTGGAAGTAGAGTCTGGGTGAGGCTGGGCCGCACCAAGTATTCCACCACCGCGGTGGGGGTGGGCCGCTCATCCCGCAGCCGGCCCAGATGCCGCCAGCACTTTGAAGGCCGCAGGGCCCCTCCCCCGTGCCCCGCCCGTCCCGGCAATTGGCCCGCGGGCCGCGAGTTTGAGACCCCTGTTCTACTGCATCAGCAAAGCTACTGGAATCCATAATTTTTCCCTTCGTATATCCTAGGATCATTTCAGGGAAGACTATCAACTTCTCATTTGTTAGAAAATCCAGATCTGCCAAGACTTTTCAAGAACAGAACTGGATGGTTCTACTTATATCTATTCAATATTTTCAGTGTTCCCATGGGGGCTCTTTCTGTGCAAGATTTCGCAGTTGCAAAACGTTCTGTACAGTCAAATCAGCAAAGACTAAGAATGTACTACAACAACATGAACAAGAATGTCCCAGGACAACATTATGTTTCTAGTTCAGTACTAGACACTTTATATAAACACTTGGAAACAGATTGAACAGCACTTCAGATTGAAACTAAATAAAGAAAGGGACTGGCTAATTCCACACACCCCAAGATCCCTCTGCCTAAGATATCTGTCTACATTTTCATAAAGTCAGTATCTAGTTGTGAAACCACAAGACATGCCATCTTGCTTATCCTAAAAAGCACCATTTTTTCTTTCTTTCAACCTTTAGATGGACCAGGTTATGGTCAATGCATTTTCTCTTTCCCTCCCTCAAATTGTGCCTTAAGACAATTACAATATTTACAACTACATATTTCTATTTATTTATTACATTTATACCTTGTCTTTTTTCCTTTTGCAAAAATCCCTTCGCAACTTAGATGGATTGATCCAAGGTCGCTCAGTGAGCTCCATTGACAAACGGGGTAAGAACCCAGGTCTCATGAGTCCTGCTACAATGGTTTAAACATTATGCCACAATGGCCTTCTTGAACATAAGTTTTAAAGCTTTTATAGTTTTACTACCAAATTAATATGTCAGCAGAGACCCACATCCTACTGTACTCCTTTGGGCTTCCTCAGCTGAAGTTCCCTATCCTCCAAGAGCTTTTTGCACTCTCTCTCTCTATATATATATATATCTCCTCCCTGTTATGTACCTTCCTATTCAGAAGACAAGGGTTCCCAACCTTTCTGGGTTAGTGGGAGAGCTTGAAATTTGTAATTTTGAGAGTCTGCCATGAGTGCTCTCACAAAAAGACCGCTATGGGAAAGCACAGCCATTCTCAAAAAATTCAGTCTGCAGAAGCAACCTTCTGAGACTCATCATCATCATCATCATCATCATCATCATCCTGTGAACTTAAGCATAAGACAGGGGTGCGGTTTGAGCCCCAAAACACAAAACTACTATTTTGTGTACATAACTAGCACAGGTGGGTAGTCCTTTGCCTTAGCACATTCCAGGATCACAGTTAAAAAATAAAAATATTAATGGCATGCAAACCAAGCCAGCAGGCATCAAGAGAGAGCTCCATGAGAACACTGGTACCCCACTGAAGACTCAGCCTTAAGTTTCACCTTGACATGATATCGCTTTTGGATCCGAACTATTCCTCAGACATCTTAGCTGTCAGTCACCTTTCCTCAATCTCAGCTTCTCAACTTATCCTCTTTTTCCACCCACTCTTTAACTCAGTCTCTGCTTTTATTTAACCCTGCTTCTCTCTACAATTCCATTTTTGTCCTTGGCTTTTTCTTGTGGCTGCCTGCATTCTCCTTTATATTGTTGTGAACCATCCAGACAGCTTCAGCTATTGGGTGGTACATAAATGAAATCAATAAATAAATCAATAAAATTATTCCATTAGTCCCTGACTTCCATATTTCTTTCCCTGTGGAAACCTTGAATATTGCCCTATTATCACAACAACAAGAAAAGCCATGGTGACAAATGCATGCATGTAGATGGGAGAAAAGCCAGACTGAGGAAGGATTTGGAAAATAGCAGAAATGAGTAAAGTTAAAAATTTTGCATCAAAATAAGGAGTTTTTCTGGGATGCCTTAACAGTCAAATAGTAAAGAATTGCCCTTCCATTGTATTTTAACTAAATGAAACAGAAACTACAGACTGCACTATCCTCACTGGGTCTTCCCAGAGCAGAAATCTACAGGTAATCAACTTGGTAGTGTTCCAACTGTTCCTGAAAGATTTGGAACTGTTCCTAAAAAATAGTTGGAACTTTGATTTTTACCAGTACCAAGATCCCACTTTACATGGCTAAGATGCAATGCTAATTAAAAGTCATGGGGAAGTAGTAAAGGCAGAGGGTGCAAGAGAACAGGAAGTACTGGTGAAGGAACAATGGGCAGGGGCGGAGGGAGAGACTGGAAAAGGAAGCAGAAGCCCCACCACTTAGGTGCATATGAAGCCACATCGTGGACAATGCTGCCATCATGATTACATAGTTCTGCTTATGACATAATTCAGCTACATGAAGCATACTTACCTGAAGTGTGTCTAGATCTAGTAAATCTGAATCACAGACACCACATCCAGATTCACGAGTCCAGCCATTGGGTATATAATTTCCAAAGTAGTGGAGATTAAGCTAGGGAAGGGAGCGAAAAACAGCTTGAGTCAGTTCAAGTGGATAATAAACCCTTTTCAGTTAAAAGCCCACCCTGCAGAGCTCTGTTGTTGCACTCACTCAACTGAAGTGGATGGAAACTGGGCATGATGTAGTGAGGCAGAGGGTCCTCTTGTCACTCCTAATTAATTCTTATTATATTACAAACAAGAATTTTGCTGCAATTTCAATTTGCTTTTGCTCCCACTGAAAAGTCTACACTGAAATGAAGACACTGTCACTTACTTTAGTTGGGCCATTTCCATGAAGAGTGACTGGCATAGTATCATACACTGAGTTCCAAGCTCGACCTCTTCCTTCTTCAAACTTCAGAAGAACTTCATCTATACCAGAAAATCAATACATCACGCTTATTTTACTCAAACAAGGATGACACAGTTATCTTTGAATTATCTTGAGAATCCACTTTTATACGTATTTCTTTATTTCTTCTCACTCAACCATACAATCCTCAAGTCACTCATTCCAAAAATCAGCAGACTGTATCACAGTAAATATTAAGTAGCACTAGATGATGATCAAATTTTCTGTATCTACAGATCCTGTTTATTTCAGTGGACAATCTCCTTCTTCAGACTTCTGAAGAAAAGATTTCTTTTCTCCTACACTTGCTTGGCAAATGAAAGCTTGTTTAGATTGTATCATTTCCCTTAAGATTGTTCCTGGGAAAAAATGTGCACAGACCTCCTGCTTCTTCTTACCACTCCTCCTCCTCCTACTTTGAGTTACTGTATTTAAAGTGGTTTTAATTTGTAAAGGTCAGGAATGTTCCAATAACTGCAGGATCTCCTAGATGGTATTTAACCTCTTCTTCTGGTGAAAAACCATATGTCCAAGACCTACAACTAAATATGATGTGCAAATAGACCCTTGAATCTATCAGGTAACAGATAAAAGAACACAGGCAAGGAAGACATCACTCAATAGGCACTTCATCATGCATACCAACAGCTCCATTTAGAGTCTGGAAAATGTTGCACTTGTGATCCAAGGTGATATTAATATGTTCCTAAGATGAAAAAACAGAAAAATATGCTAAAGGAGGCACTGTAAAATCCAGGATAGTATTAACTGAATTTAAACATGTTGACAAATGTAAACTATCTAAAAACCATGGCAGCATACCTCACTGACGATTCATTTTCAGAGACTTATTTGTTTAGCCAGATCTTTCTTAACACTTAACATTTCTTTACAGTTCAGCATGTCTCACAGATTATCCTTCATCGAGAACTTGTGACTTAATTGGAAAACTGTTTATATCACCCTAGCACTGAAGTCTTGTTTTCTAAGCTAAACAAATAAAGTTCATGACTTCTCAAAGAATGGTGATCTGGCAGCATATAGCCACAGAGGAATTTCCAAAATAACACTAGCAGATTAGCAGCTTTAAAAAACACAGAATACAAGATGAAAATGTATCATGATACATACAGAATAATATTAGTGATTCCAATACCGATATGGCTGCTATATACAAACTGGGATTCTTTATCTGTGGTTTGCAAAAGAGATCAGCAGAACATGTTCCTAGGGACCACTTCTATAGAAATCTCAGAACTGTGTACTTCAAATTGAAATTGATGCAGTGTCCATGTACTAGCTTTATATTCTGGGTGTCTAAATCCTAAAACTCGCTGTTCCAATCCAAAATAGCATATGAAGAGCAACTTTAGCTTCACAGACAAGAGCATCTTTTTCAAAAAAAGGGCCAGGACAGTGATGCAGACAAAGATGACAGCAAGCACCGTCTTTTCAGCAATCCATCTCCTCAGCCACCCTATGAGAAAGATCCTGATGACCTGTTATGTGTTGATAGTATACTTTTACATGTTTGATATTACTTGTGAAGCACCTTAGAAGAATTTTGCATTCTGAAAGACAGGCTGCTAAACATTGTAATCAATCAATGCTGATTTGTTATGCCTCGAGATTTCTCATTGAAAGGGGAATGGGGTATGAGTCAGGTTGAATCCAACCACTTGCTTCCCCACCTGAACAGCTGCTTTCAAGGATTCTCACTTCCACTTCTATCAAACTTGGCAATCTTTTTATTATTGGCTAGAGAAACGGGACTTCACATAGACTTAAATATGTTTTTTAGTTATTATAGATAGAAAAAGAAAGATGTGGGGGCTGACTCAGTGGGCTCGATGTTTTTTGATCATGGATGTTGTTTGTAGTTCTCTTTTTGTTTTTGTATAATTTCTCAAATAAAACTTATTATAAAAAAAGGATTCTCACTTCCTTTAAAGGAGTCTCCATGCATATCTCCATATGTGACACTGAAGAATTACACATGCAGCATCAATGTATATGTACAATTTTCATGTACATGGGGACACATACATAATTTCCTCTTTCCATAGACATAATGTTGCAACTGCTGGAACTGAACCAATGATGTGTAACTGTAGAAATCCAACGTTCTTAAACTTGACACGGGCTTTCATTTTAGGATACCAATGAAATTTTTGAGAACTCTGAACAAATGAAAGCATCCTTTATCTGAGCTCTAGATTACACTGTGCTATTCAACCTGAGACACATTTCAAAATGAAGAAATGTATTTTCCGCATACTCAAAAGTACTTATAGAATACTACCAATCCAGCAAACCATGGCATTAAATGTAAAAATAGACTGCGTGCCTTTCTGAATTTTTCAGCTGGCCCTATTGAAGCCAGAAGTGCAAACATTTGGGGCAATTCTTTGCAAAGTAGATGTACTCCAGATCACAAGAATCAGCAAAGAGTAGGTTGTACATACCCTCTTCAGTGGGTCAATATATATTTTGGTATAAAAAAGCTGATCGTCATCATTATCTTGGAGGTCCCACTGTTGTACAATGCTGTTTACAGATGGAGAATAACCAATAAATCCTGCAAGAAATCATTCAGATTCAACTAAATAAACACTTATGTCATAATGTGTACTCAATAGTGAGTTTTCTGTGTTTTCCAGGATCCAATTTCAAACTTTATGCAAACATTAACATCCCTTTGAGAGCCTATATGAAATTTACCCATCAATTTTCAGGCAGAGCTTTCTTCAAGAAGTGGGCACTATTTAGCTCCTGAATCACTCTGCTTTCTTTATATTTTAGTTAGGTTTTCCCCTCCATATAACTTTTTTAAAAATCCTCCAGCCATGGTTCTTGTCCTGTTAATCGCTCTTGAGAGAAAAATCAGACTCTAGGACAGAGCATGAAGCTTTTTCTTCCAGCTGTCATCAGAAGAAAGGGAAGTAGGCAAGAAAAAAGTCCAATCCTATGCAATCCTTACATGTCTACTTGTAAACATGTCAACCCTTCGAAGCTATCTTTATTCCATGAAAGAGTGAGATGAACTGTCCTAAAACATGAAGTGTGAACTTTTCCTGCATGCAAAAAAGTCACAGCATGCTGGTTAGAGTTGATGGAACCCTACAAAAACCACCCTACAACTCCACAACAAGGAGGCTGGGCTAAGAACTGTAATTGGCCTATAATACCCAATGAGCTTCATAGCTGAGTGGGAACCAGAAGCTATGTCTCCCACATGTCCAGACCAGCACTCTAACCACTGCACCACACTGTCTCTCAGGGAAGTGTTTGGATTTCCAAACCCAAGGGCAAAAACAAAGCTGTCACCTTGGAGCTGGGGATTCTTGCTTCACTCTTTCTCCACCTCTTTGCAGCAAGCACAGAAAGAACCATACTGGCTGCTTCTCCAGGGTTTGAAAAGGCCATGGAGAGATGGGAGAAAGGGAGTGCTTCAGGAAGTGGGAAAGGGAAGAAGACAGAGCCCATCAGTGTCCTACAGATGCCCCAGTCTGCTCCACTTCCACCCTGATAGACTTCTGGAACCAGCCACCTACCTGCATTGCAGAGTGAGAGAAGCAAAGATGGAGCAGATATTGCCTCAACATTTCCCCTGCTCTGCACCAGATTCTTGTATTCCTTCAAGTTTACTGGTTTGAATACAGGCTTTAAGATGCATCAGTCTGCCAGTGGTTTTTCCCATAGAGTTACCCTCACACCCACTCCCCCCCCCACTCTTTTCTTTATCTTCCATATTCCAGCGTTGAGGAGGGTAAAAAAGAGCATGTCTGGAGACATGGTTACTCATAATTTACCCTGCATTTCACCTTGAAAACCCTCCAAAAGTGTAACAGATAAAAAATGAATTTGTATGCAAGTTTATGACAGTGAGAGAACAAAGATGTGTGTGTGTTTTTTCTAAAAACAGTTAAAGAAAAGCTTCATTTTCCACAAGTACAGCTTACCTCCTGCATTAAGGAATCGTTTTCCACTGCGAACAACTGGATATTTATCTGACAGTCTTTTATCCGGCCATATCCGGCCATCAGCTGCAAATACTACTTTGTGATTAGCTTGCTGGAACTTCCTTAACAACTCCTCAGGTCCCCCAGCAAATATAACATCATAGCTGAAGTTTGAAGGAACAGAGGGAAATGTGTTAAAAGTGTTTTCTCCATTAAACATTCAAAACAGAAATAATTATTTATTAAATGCATAGTCTGTCTTTCTTTCCAAGCAGAAACAGAGCTCAAGGCTATGTTGTCCCGCACATTGTAAGGATTTAAATGACATTTCACAAACAGATGTTATTTCAAATGCAATTTTATATTTAGAGCACAGGTGAGCAACACGTGACCCTGACCATTGCAGCATCACCAAATCTGCTGCCAGAATTTGGAGTGCTGAGGCAGCAAAATGCAATAATGGTTATGCCTTGAAACAAGGTGAGCACAGACTACATACTTAGTTTTCAGACAAACATGTTCCCTTACTCTCTTCCCAAGAGTTTTGTTTTACTGAAAATCAAACTGTATACTCCTTGTGACTTGTTTTCATGTAAAACCATGCAATGGATTGCCACTACTTAAATTAAGAAGTAGATGGGGGCGCAGCCATTGGTAGGAGCAATGTGCTCCCAACCTGCAGTCAGCATCCATCACAAATTTAGAATGATACAATTCCACACAGTGCCTCCCCTGCCTGGCTGCTTTTATAAGGTAGGAAGGGCAAGGACCTAAGGGTCGTGGGGCTCCTTCTCTAAGGATCTTGTTCACATCTTTGGGCTGTACGAATGAAGAAGTACCCATTGTAAATAGACAAGCAGGGAGAAAGTTTCACCCACTAGACCTGTATTAACAGTGATTCCCAAGTCAACACAATCAGTTTTATCTGTAAAATATTCCACAAGTGTTCACAACAGGCAATTAAGTGGTTATCCTCTTTTTTTCTTGCAGGCCAGAGTGTAACAGGGCTCCAGCCATCCAGTAAAGCTCTCTGTGCAGATGCAATCGTGGTGGGTGAAGTACAGTTTCTTTACCATCCTCACTGCCACGAAGCAGTCTCTAAAAGAAACTCTGGACCATGTTTTATCAAACTTGTTCCTACTTCTCCACCAGTGTTGCTCTAGTCAACATTTCAAGACAGTGGAACCTGCAGTGTGTACAGTGTCATGGGGAACTGTGGACCCATATGGCTTCACTCCATGGGAGAGGATACTCAAGAGTGACTGATTGTGTTCAGTGCCTCATCCAAATTCCATTCCAGAATTCAACCAGAGCTTGAACATCATAGCCAGCTATGGTCCCGGAAAACTCCCCAAGAGCAATCATAGAAACATTCAGATCCATGAATGTATGGATCACCAGATGTACACCAGGTAATGACCTAAGTGACCAGGTAGGCTGATGCATGAGAAGACATTATCTTAAGCACCCTGGCTCCAAACTGCTTAGGGCTCTAGATACTAGTATCAAAACCTTAAACCCGGCCCCACAGTCAATAAGCAGTCAGTGCCATGCCCTCAGCAGAGGATTTGCATGCTGTGCTCCTGCATTCTGCACTGGCTTCAGCTTTGAGACCAGCCTTAGTGGCAGTCCTGCATACAGTACATTGAGTCCATGGGCAGGAGCAGGGGTGTCCCCCGAAGGGTCTCCTCCAGTGGGAAGGTCTTGGTGCCTAAGCCATGCCCCTGGAGGAACTCCAAGAGGGGACACAGAGGTTAGTGACTTCAAATTATCTTAACTGTGTAGCCATTTAAATGATTAAGGGAGAAAAAAGTAAATATTGTAGAACATACAATATGCACTTAAAAATCAGGAAGACACCAAAGGCTGTTAATGCATTCTTCCTATGGGGTGACAAGATAAGTAAGATTGTAAATTACTCTTTCCCTGACTGCCACACTGAATGTGCATGGACTTTGTTTACAGGTTTGGCTAACAATGTGGGCTTTTAGGGCCAGTACACAATCTGCAGAACTGCTTGAAATCTATGAATAATAATAGATGATGATGATGATGATGATGATGATGATGATGCAGTATTCTGCTCCAAGGAAATGCACATTTTGCATTGAGCAAAGCTAAATCCTATGTAAACCTGTGTGTTTATTTTGCTTCTATTTGTCATGGGAGGGTGGACGGAACTTGGTAGAACACTGAACACCAGCTCTTGGCCACTGTAATCCTTGCCGTGCCTCACACATTTCCAAGACTACCTTGGCAGCAACATCAGCTAGAAATTGGCTATTCCCCTAAAATGCAAACACTGAGATTCTAAGGGGCAGACTAAACATACAGAGTTGCTGCTACTCCATATCACTTTAATCTTTCCTGTGATATAAACCAGATGCAATGTGGTCTTCTATCACTGCATAGATACAAGGCAAGATGAAAGGCATACAGCTTTCATCAACCATAAAGGTATGGCTGTGTCTTGTGTTTTATACCTGGTTTGGCCCTAAAGAATGCTTAGCTGTATGGTGAGTACCAAATTGTGTGTTCTTTCTGTACTTGCTCAAATTACCATAATCCTGTGGTCTAACATGCTTTATGCTCATTGTTGTGTTGTTGCACTTCTGTGCCAAGCACCTGTGACAGTCAATGTTCTCCGATGGCACCAATGATTCACTCAACAATTCTTCAGAGCTTAACTGGAGTGTTCCCAATGCCTTTTACATCAACAAAATGACCGTTTGGTATGAAATTAACTCTTTGAAAATAGCCCCTCTTATGCTGAAGTTCTAGGAAAGGGCATTTGTCCTCTGATACATGGAGCTCAAAAAAAAAGCTTGGTTTTAACATGATGGCATTTGCATCCAGTTTCTGGAGGGAGGGGGACCAGGAGAGTTCAGCCCTGTGTGTTCGGTGGAGTTATGGTAAATTTTGGCACTCCTCACAGCTGATTTGAGCCATACCTAGCAGCTTTCCTCTCCTTGGGAGCTGGTTTTTTGTTCAGTGAATGGAACTTAAGTCCCACTTCAAAGCTAACATACTTTGCATTTCAAGAAGGAGCAATATAAAGTTGCTGGGAGAGTGCATTTCCGCCAGTTACTGCTAAGCTCAAAGGGTGAAGGGATGTCTGAGCCGAGTCTGGCTTGTGTTGCTGTTCCTAGCTAGGGCAAGGAAGCACTAGAGGCAGAACATTCTGCGTTTCCCTACTCAAGATGCTTTGCTCCCAGAAGACAAGGTGATGCACTTCCCATTGCCCCCAATTCCATGGCCAAATTGGAACAGGCTGTGCATGAGGACAACAGACCTCAAGTACAGCAAGTACAGCTTTGTCTCTCCTGGACTTCCCAGCCCACGGCACCTGCTTCCCAACATGGCTGTTCCACTCTGCCCAATGACAGGGCTGGTTCTGTCCATTCGAGCTAGTAGCAGGCAAAGAAGGAAGCAGAGGATTAGGGTTCACATAACAATCATTGTCCCATAATCCACAGTTATAAGTGTAAGAAACTGCCTCGAGGAAAGCAGAGGTTCCCACCTTGCTGAGTACTGGACTGTGCCTGTGAAACATAATTGTAGAAGACATTGGTTGCTGTGGAAGATGGGGGTGAGAGTGCAAATGCATTCCCGCCCTGGTCGTGGGTTGACCTTGAGTTGTTTTGGCTGAGCTTGTTCCAATCCATCAGGATTCTTTGCATGTGCACTGCAACCTTGATTTCACCTCTGCTTGACTCATTCTTGATAAGTTCAGGACTAGAAGTTCCACCCTATGGAGCTGCACCATTCATTGGGTTGTGGTGGAGGTGATGACTGAAGGATGTGTAGCTCGGAGGTCTGCATTGTGCATTGCTGCTGAAATGCTTGAGTCAGCTTAAATTCTGAGCAAGCGATCTCAGAATCTGACATGCACATGGTGGGCATGTCATGAGCGGAGCCAGCTGGTGCCAGAGGTCAGACTAGATGGCCCGGGACTCGCTCTGTTTCTATGAAGGACCCTGATTGCTGCAACAAAGGATATCACAGAACTGCAGAATTTTTCTCGGGTTGCTGAAAGTTCGCACAAACTTGCAGGAAGACATTTGAGAAGAAACGCTTAAGAACACAGTATCAGGTACATACAAAATGCCTTGCTGTGGTCACTTTTCTACCAAGAGAAAAGCACGAAATGAGTTGCTTATTTCAAGATGGTGTATAATAAGCACTCATTCTGGTCTGCCCTTCCTTTGTAGAAGGAAACTGATACATTGTAACAAAAGTGTGCCAACTTTTGGGACAATGAAGTTACTGTAGGTTTTATTGCAGGTCTTGGACCACAACAATACATAACTAAGAATGTGTCGTACTCTGTCTCTCTATACCCAAGAAAAAGTCTGACAGTAAAACAGCATCATTTCCAGTTGCAATGATTGCACTGCAATTCATTATATCAAAGAGGTCATTGTGAAGGAGCAGGAGCAAATTATTCACTTCATTCCAGTCAGGCAAATCACTGCTCTGCCATCATCTTGCCCTTTGCCTCTAAGGGCCACCTCTAACAAATACCATCAATAAAATACGTGCCATCAATCAAATGCAGAGGCTTTTCACTTTCCTTAAGTACAAAGCTCAAACACTAGAGGAAGAACACTGTGGCATTCGACAACACCTGTTTCATTGGCCTTTGAAACCAATGAGAAACCTAGAAGCCCAGAATTGTTCTCTTGGCTTGGAATCACAGTTTTACATCTTTGTGGATGTGGCTGCATCTGTATGCTCATGTTGCAGTTCTTCATATTTTGCAAGTTCTTAGTTATCCCCAATTGCCCCCCAGCTCTTTAAATATTTTCTGGGCATACACATCCATTATTAAAGCATGAAGAAGATTTATGCCTTGTTCCATTCCCTCCTCCTTCATCACAGCCTTGCCAAAAGTATTCCCCTGCTGCCAGTACTCCAGCAGTCCAGGATCCTTGGCCTGCTGCCATCCTTCCTCTCCTGGTCTCCATTTCTTCTCTCCTCCACAGTTTCTCAAGCAACTGCTGCAGATGCAAACACAGCAAAACTTCTTGTAGTTGAGTCCCCACTGAAAGAGCACAAAATATCTTCTTATGCTCATAACTATAGTATTGTCCCTAGAACTTGAACCCTAGTTTGTTTCTGTATCCCAGAGACTCTAAAAAGGTAATGTGATGAGACATTTCAC